AGGCTGAGGCAGGAAAATCACTTGAACCTGGGAGTCAGAGGTTGCAGTGAGCCAAGATTGCACCACTGCACTCCAACCTGCGTGAGAGAGTGAGACTCCATGTCAAAAAAGAAAGAAAGAAAGAAAGAAAAAACATAGTACAACGTGTATGGGCATGGCAAAAATAATGAAAGTGGTATCCAAATGACTAAAGTTTGGGAAACCCTGCACCTGAGAGGTGGCCCAGTACCCGGAAGGAGGAGAGTGCAGGCCAGAGAGGCAGTGGATCCACCCAGACTCCCATTTGCTCTGCTGCAATCAGGTGGCTCTGTCCAAGACTCTAGCCACATTTATTCAGTTTCTTCATCCCAAAGAAGGGATTGTACCAGACAAGTAGTCTCCAAAGGTTCCTCCAGCTCCAATTTACTCTTTCTGTGTAAATGGATATTTATGTTAGGAATTTCAATGTCAGGGCCAAGCACAGTGTGAAATATAAACATTACAAACTATTTAAAAGGTGAAAACATTGGTTCTGTCTGTAAATGCTGCCAAATGTAGTGTCAAGCCTGCAATGTCAAGCCTTGGTTGATTATTTAAATGACTGCTATCATACTTGTTAGGGGTTGTCTTGCCATGGATGGATATCCTTTTTTTTTTCTTTTTCTATTTGTTTGTTTGCCTGTTACTAATACCATTTCAAAGTAGTGAATGCTCATCATTAGTTGCACACATAAAACAATTATAGATTCTTTGAGAACATTTCTTGAACTTAGGAAATACTGGAAGGACAGAGCATGGACAGTTGGTGGAACAGGACCTCAACATTAGGTAGACATTTAAAAGGACTGGTGGTTTGTTTTTGTTTTTGTTTTTGTTTTTTTTTGAGACAGAGTCTTGCTCTGTCGCCCAGGCTGGAGTGCAGTGGCGCAATCTCGGCTCACTGCAAGCTCTGCCTCCCGGGTTCACACCATTCTCCTGCCTCAGCCTCCTGAGTAGCTGGGCCTACAGGCACCCGCCACCACACCTAGCTAATTTTTTTTGTTGTATTTTCAGTAGAGACGGGGTTTCACCATGTTAGCCAGGATGGTCTTAATCTCCTGTCCTTGTGATCCGCCCGCCTCGGCCTCCCAAAATGCTAGGATTGCAGGCGTGAGCCACCGTGCCCGACCTGGACTGGTGGTTCTTAGCACATTCTTCAAGTACACCGTTATTTACAGGATGTTTCAATTCTGATAACTCTTAGTGACTTTTTGTTCTTTTAATTAAAAGTACATACTGAAGCGATTTTTTTTTCTTTTGAAACGGAGTTTCACTCTTGTTGCCCAGACTGGAGTGCAATGGTGCAATCTTGGCTCACTGCAACCTCCACCTCCCAGGTTCAAGCGATTCTCCTGCCTCAGCCTCTTGAGTAGCTGGGATTACAGGCATGTGCCACCTCACCCAGCTAATTTTGTATTTTTAGTAGAGATGGGGTTTCACCATGTTGATCAGGCTGGTCTCGAACTTCTGACCTCAGGTGATCCGCCTACCTCGGCCTCCCAAAGTGCTGGGATTACAGGCGTGAGCCACTGTGCCCAGCCCTGAAGATGTTTTTAAATTTCTTTCTCCAGTAAGAAAAATTTCAAACTTCTGTATCCCATTCAGTATTCCCTAAAATAAAATCAAGTTTGTTCTGAAATATGGTTTTAAAAACTGAAAATCTATTTTCTTTGATTACCTCATAAATAACAAGAGTTTCATATCAGCTCTCCTGCCTCTTCCTCCTCCACCCTTTTCCTCCCTTTCATGTTGTGCCAGTCACACAGGTGGATGCTCAGTATCACCCCACAGCACAAGATAAATAAGCTTGGAAGGTTTCCTAGCAACATATTGTTCTGGGAACCTGCTCTGTTTCCCTGAACAAGATGAAGCCAAATATCCTAGAATCTCAGCCAGATGGGAAAGGATTAGCTTATTGAGAGTGTTGTTGCCTTTTTTTTTTTTTAAATATTTTACTTTGAAATGAACCTCTTAATATAAGTAGTAAAAGTGACTTTTAAAAGGGCACATAAAATATCTTTTTAAAAGAACATTTTTTTCTCTTACATATAAAAAAAATATTGATAATAGTTTGAAGTTTAAAAATATGGTTTCAGAATTCTCTAAGCACAAGCTTCCAGTATGTAATTCAGTCACTGGTGAGTGGATCCATTTTAGAACCATGTAGAAAATACTTCCACATGGGACTAATACTCAGCCTGGTGTCCAGTGGTATGGTATTCCTGCTGTAAAAATACTGAAATACTTCTGATCTGGTGGGAAAATGGCTCCAGGGGTAGGCTGTCTCCTCACAATACCTTTAGCTGCTCCCCTTGGCCCTTGCATCTGGACCTAGGGAAACATTGGAGACACCTTGTCACTCCTTAAAACCCTGAAGCTTCCCCTTTTTCTATAACTCCAGTACTATTTTAGTACTAGTGATTTACAACTTCATCTTCAGAGTCTATTTTTGGTTTTCTCAGTGTATGATTAAAGTGTATAGAGAAAATAAAACTGAAAGAAATTGAGACTGCTATCAAAGCCAAGAAAAATAATGTCATTGTTGTTTTGTTAACACATGATCGTGTATATTTCCCTTGTTTATCTAATGATCTGTGAGGCTACACAGTTGGCAGCTGGTGCTTTCCTTTCTGTTGCACTCTAGTTGGTCACAGTATACTTGTTAGAGGTCTCTGGAGATGGAGTAATAAAGGATTCTTGTTTCTTATAACAGTATTCAGCAGTGGCTTTGCAATTCAGTTTCACCCTGGGAAATGTCCTCACTCATTGTTTGGCTGGGGAGACATTCCCCCATCAGCCAGATGACTGTTCTCATAATGTGGTTGTTGACTGGTTTGTGTCATCTATCAGGTTTGGACTGAGTTTGTGAAACTTCCCAATTGTGGTCAGAAGCTGATAATTCTAGTAATTTATAGTGTTCCTGGATAGGAAAAACAAAGTAATTAGAATAAGATGGGAATGACACCTGGTGTCTTTGTTTTTATGTAACAAATGATTTGGCCAGATGCCAGAGAATTAATGCTGTCCTCATTTTGATGAAAATAAGGAAATTGTGAGATAATTTTATATTCATGCTAGGTGCTTTCCATTCTCTTTTGCTCTCTCACTCATATGTATATGTTTTCTAAATACCATATTTTAAACTCAACAAGGAACAATCTGTTGAGGGCCTAGTATGAGCCAAATACCACTGGGTATTATGGCAGATACTGAGGGCAGCACATCATCCTTTCCTTCTCAGAATCCGCAAGAAGTTTGCAACATAGCACGTTTGTAATCGTAAACCAAACAAAAACATTAAGGAAAGGTTTTGATGTTTAAAGGAATCATGGGCTAGGCACAGTGGCTCATGCCTGTAATCCCAGTGCTTTGGGAGGCTGAGGAAGGAGGATCACTTCAGCCCAGGTGTTTGAGACCAGCCTCGGCAACATAGCCAGACCCTATCTCTAAAAAAGTTAAAATAAAATAAATAAGTAAAGGAATTCTATAACTTTGTCCAAAGAAAGACTAAAAGTATATTTAATATGTATTATGGAACAGAATAAGTTCTAATACCTTAATTTTGATTGAATACTTGTTTTTAAAAAAATTTTAAAATATCCATGAACCAGGCATTGTTTTAGATACCTCTCTGTTAACTCATTTAATTCTCCTGACACCATTATGAGGTAGAAATTTTATTTACCTGCTATTTTATAGACGAAGAAACTGAGGCTAGGAGAGTTTTTTTGTTTGTTTGTTTGTTTGTTTGTTTGTTTTAAAAGACTGAGTCTCATTCTGTTGCCCAGGTTAGAGTAAGTGGCCGTCATAGTGCAGTGCAGCCTGGAATTTGTCCACTCAAGCAATTCTTCCATCTCAACCTCCCAAGTAGCTGGGACTATAGATGTGCACCACTGTCCCCTAAGAGAGGTTAAATATCTGTTTATTGAGGGCTTTTATACTATGCTGTGCTTATTTGTTTATTTTTAAAATTTGAAGAGTCCATAGGATTCTAGTCTTTTTTCAGAAAAGAGTAAACTACTGTCTTTTGTGGATGACATAATTTTCGCAAGAAATAAATGAGTTGTTTAGATGACTTTCTGTTATCTCATACAGCACAATGATTCTGTATTTGAGTTTTCATTGTCAAACAGTAAAACCTTTCAGTATACTAACTCCGTTTTAGAATATTTTTCTTTTTCTTTTTTTTTTTTGAGACTGAGTCTCGCTCTGTCACCTAGGCTGGAGTGCAGTGGTGCAATCTTGGTTCACCACAACCTCAGCCTCCCAGGTTCAAGCAATTCTCATGCCTCAGCCTCCAGAGTAGCTGGGATTACAGATGCCCACTACCGCGCCCAACTAATTTTTGTAATTTTAGTAGAGATGGGGTTTTACCATGTTGGCCAGAGGCTGGTCTCAAACTGCTGACCTCGAGTGATCCGCCTGCCTCAGCCTCCCAAAGTGCTGGGATTACAGACATTAGCCACCATGCCCAGGCCATTTTAGAATATTTCTTGTAACTAAATTTTTTACTTGTATAAAATAATAATTTTCATTTTAAACATAATAGAAGGATATGAGTGAATTATACTTAAGAAAGTTAAAATTAATAGCACTATTAAATACATTAACAAGAGAAGGTTGTGACATCAGCAATATTATATATAACAGAGGTGGATAAACTGTAGCCTGTTTCTGTAAATTAAGTTTTCTTGGAACACAGCCAGACTCATTTGTTTAGGTATCACTCATGGCAGGTTTTGTGTAATAATGACAGAGTTGAATCTTTGCAACCTAGACTATATGACCCACAAGGCCTAAAATATATACTGCCTGGACCTTTACAGGAAAAGTTTGCCAACGCCTACTCTGGAGTCTGTATTTTTCTCCTAACTTTGAGTTGGGCATGTTCCCTTAGAATGCCAGAAATTTAGCAAACACATCTGAATTTTTTTTCATAAATGGTGCCCTTGTCTAACATGGTTTTCCTCAAATCCCTGCAGGTACCAACCAAGAAGCTGAAGAAATATGAGAAAGAATATCAGACAATGCGAGAGAGTCAGCTGCAACAGGAAGACCCAATGGATAGATACAAGGTATGAGAAATATGTTGCACCTATCAACGTACCTTCTTTTTTATTTTAAATGAGACTGAGTCTTGCTGTGTTGCCCAGGCTGATCTTGAACACCTGGCCTCAAGCAATCCTCCCACTTCAGTCTCCTAAGTAACTGGGATTACAAGCACGAGCCACCATTCCCAGTAAAGTACCTTTTTTTTTTTCTTTTTTTTTTACTTAAAGCAGCAGTTGTGGCAAGTTCAATTCCCTCTGTTCCTCCTCGATTGATTTAGACACTCTCTGATCATGCTAACTGTCCAGGTATGTTTTCATTTCAGGAGACTCTCAAATAGCCAACCATAATATTTCTTTTCTTTCAGTTTGTATATTTGTAGGTAACTCCAGCTGTTGCATTTATACTGGGAATCTTCATAAGAAGCTGAGAGAAAGAGAGGGGAAAAAGAAAGTGGCTTTCTACTTTCAAAAATGAAACAAAAAGGAAAAATGGCAAAGTACTGTTTTAGCTGTGCATGGTCATATCCACAAAGACTTTTAGCAGGTGAACTGTTCCAAGACTGACACAAGGATGTTTCAAACTTGCTCTATCTGTAGCAAATGTTAAAAATACCAACTCACTTGGAAGGAAAAATAAAAATCACAAAGGTATATTGAGCACAGTAATGGTGTTTGTTGCAACATTTATTTCCACAAATGAATTTTTGAACAACAGTGATATTTGACTTGTAGTATGAAGTTTCAGAATCAAAATATTTTCATTTTAATATGTTCGTTAATTGTGAATTTCTTCAACGGTAATTAGCAACACTTCCCAGGATGCAGTGTTGGGAAACACTTATTTCCAACTTATTTTTTTCCAAGTAAAATATTGTCTCTCTTCAACATGCTTTAATTTTTCAGACTCATACAGATACATAATAGCTCCTTCTCCCTCCACATCAATACGCTAAGATAAAAGAATACTGTATTTTCAGCACCGAGCAGCAGTGCCGAAATGTCCTGCCAATAAATGGACTGTGTGGCATTATTAATTGAATCACCCACATTGGGATGACTTCCACTTTTGTAACTAGAGTTATCTTTATGTGGTCAGAGCTGGACATAGGCAGCATAGTCACACAGCATATCTTATCTCTGTTGCTGAATTGAATAACACGGGATGTGTACAGAGGAACATGGTAGGAGTATGTAGATTTTGTAGTCAGACAGACCTGAACTCAAATCTTGCTCATTTTTTTAGAGCACAGGATTTGGACTCCATATTGAGGGTTTTAATCCCTATGCCACCATTCAGCATCTTGGACTAGTTATTGAACCTCTTCCTTATCTGTAAAAGATACAGTGTATCTGCTTGCTTGGTGGATTATTACAAGGATGAGGGATGCTGTATGTTAAGGACTCAGCTCATAGTTGCATTCAATAAATGGCTGTTACTTTATGAAGCCTACTACTACAAATTATGCAATTATTACTAGAATAATGCCAACTTATGTGGGTCTTCCCCTCTAGTCCCTTATTGATTGTTCTCATTTCTCTCAAGTATTGCCAACTAATAATCTCCCCTTGCTTATAGAAGTGGTTCAAGATCTGATGATAAAATCCCACATACTTCTATAGCAGGTAACTATTAACAGATAAGGTGTTTATAGATAATGTTTGAAGCTAATTTTCACCACCAACATCCCCTCAATAAAACCAACTTTTAATGTAAATCACATGGCATGCTGCTTTAGAAAGGCTGGAAGGTAGTAATTATAAACTATTATTAAGCATCCAAAATGAAGCTCTCCTTTTGCTAACATCATTCTGATTTTCTTATTACTACCATTGTTGTGAATAAATTCTGTGAAGAATGCTTTAAAATAAGAGAGAAATGGAAGACCAAATTTGTACATTTAAAATCAGGCTGGAATTGAACTTGTTATTGTGTCTTAAATCATTTTTTGTGCCAAAGCAGGTATGTATACATTAATAGTAAGATGTACATTATTTTTAAATTACTTATAACATGTAAGATTATCAGTGTGTATAGTTTTTATTGAGAGATCAAAGTAGGATTAAACTTTTTGTTTTGAAAGCAGGCATTACTTTTTAAGTTCAAGTATTGTTGCTTCTTATTTGCACTTATCTGATACCCTCTATCGCTATTTCTTTTAGATTATTGTGGTAACTTGTCAGTACATTCATCTAATGTCTCTATACTCTTTTAATAATGTCTAGGCATTTGTCCTGGTAATACACTTGGCAAATTTATAGTTCTTAGATTATAATTACACCTTCAAGGTGGCAGTCAACAATATAAGTTTCTAACCATCAACATATTTGGTTTTTAAGATGATCAATATGTAGTTTAAGAAGCCATATTATAATTATCTTAATTAAAGTAGCAAAGTTAGAAAATACCATTTACATCTTCTAAATTTAATCCTGTGAAGAATAAGATCTCTGTCCTGGGAATGAGCACTCTATAATTCATAGATCTTGGACTGGGAACCCAGTTAGTGTAAACTCTTAAAGACTGACTTGGGAACATCTTTGAGGGCATTGAGTGAGAATTTGCACCAGTTCACTGACAACCCCTCCTCAACATTAGAATCTATATTGCTTGAAAAGTCATTTCCACACCCTAGCTTGCCATATGACAAGAGAGTTAGGAAGGTTGTGGGAATTTATTTTTTAAAGCCCACATATGTTATATAATAAGATATTTTAAGAGGTATTTCAGTTCAATGCTATTTCTCTTAGACATGGTGGCATATGTAAAAGGGCTATCACAGGGAACCTGGAGGTGGGATTAAAGATCCAACAATGTAGATGTAGCTCTCAACAGTCATATTTCTTGCTATATCTATGTAAACATGTGTTTGATGTCTATTTTTATGACATATGTAAATATCTTCATGCTCAGGTTATATCGCTATAGTCACCTTTATTCAACACTTAAATCTCAACCACAAAGAAAGAGATGAAATAATGTTAGTATAAATTTAAATTTTAAAACTCCACATATCATGAAAATCTTCTGGAATTAGGAAGTAGTGATGATTGCACAACTTTGTGAATATACTAAAATCATTACATTGCACATTTTAAAAACATGACTTTTATGGCATGTGAATTACATCTCCAAAAAAAAAGCAGAGTATTCCAGGAGGATTGTCATTTAGGCTACCCTTTTCCTTTCATGAACCCTAAGTCACACCAGAGGTACTTGTTTAGAAGCTTTGCAGGAGGGAGAGCTTCCTGTTGAAATTAGAGCTAATTAGTGACTATTGATCTTATATGTGTTCATATTTGTAGAATAAAAGCCAACACAGTGGGTGGTACATTAGTTTTTAGTGAAGCCCATTAATTTCCAGATAGAACATATGTTGTACATTGTATGTATACACACAGATATAAACATATATACGTAGGTCATACACACATATACATGCACTGCCTGTGCTACCTGGGCTTGGCATCAGTTTATATTTTAAACTCAGTGAACACCATAATGACTGCTTTATAGCCTTTATTCTTTCTGTTTCTCTTCATGACTAGATTCCAGGAGACAGAAAGGAAACTTTTTTGGAAGAACAATGTAGAATATTTATTTCAAATCTCTTTTATCTTCCTTCTTAACTTGGACCTGACCAGATTTGTGTAAAATTCTTTATCTACTCTAATATTTTGGTTTGTAAATTTAGTGATTGATTTCTAATAAGCTGAAATTAGGATAAAGATTTGGCTGTAGAAATAAGCATGTTTTCATTTTTATACAGGTTCCCCAGAAAACACACATTCATCAATATGTGTAGCTGTTTTTAGTGTATTTTAGAAACTATTAACTAAGCCCTTAATAAGCAAAGTTACCAATTTCAGAAATTAAATTTTTTTTTTTTTTTTTTTTTTTTGAGACAGAGTCTTGCTCTGTCGCCCAGGTTGGAGTGCAGTGGCGCAATCTTGGCTCACTGCAAGCTCCACCTCCCGGGTTCACACCATTCTCCTGCCTCAGCCTCCCAAGTAGCTGGGACTACAGGCGCCCACCACCGCACCCCGCTAATTTTTTGTATTTTTAGTAGAGACGGGGTTTCACCATGTTAGCCAGGATAGTCTCGATCTCCTGACCTCATGATCCGCCCATCTCGGGGTTCCAAAGTGCTGGGATTACAGGCGTGAGCCACCGCGCCCGGCCTTAAAATATTTTCTATCTTAAAGAGATGAATCGTTTCTATTGTGAGGAAAGTTTTCTAGTGGTGGTATCAGTTGATGGTACTTTTTGGAGATCTGTAGCCTTCATCTACCTTTGGAGAATGATATGCTTTTCTGGTTTAATTAAAGAACTATTTGCACAAATGTGAGCTAAGCCTTAAAAAACACAGCTAATTGACTGGGCATGGTGGCTCTCGCCTGTAATGCCAGCACTTTGGGAGGCTGACGTGGGTGGATCACTTGAGGTCAGGAGTTCCAGACCATCCCTGGCCAATACAGGGAAACCCCACTTCTACTAAAAAAACAAAAATAGTGAAGTGTGCTGGCAAGCACCGGTAGCTCCCACTACTTTCACAGAGAGGCTGAGGCAGAGAACGCTGTAGCCTGGAGGGGAAGGGTTGACAGTGCCAAGATCATGCCACTGACTCCACTGTGGGCACCAGAGCCAGAGCCTCTGTCTCAAAAAAAAAAAAAAAAAAAATGGCTGGGCGCGGTGGCTCACGCCTATAATCCAGGCACTTGGGAGGCGGAGGCAGGCAGATCACGAGGTCAGAGGATCGAGACCACCTGGCTAACCACGGGAACCCCGTTCACTAAAAAAAAAAAAAAAAAAAATAGCCGGCATGGGCTGGCGGCACCTGTAGTCCCAGCTCTTGGAGGCTGGAGGCAGGAGAATGGCTTGAACCCGAGGAGGCGGAGCTTACATTGAGCCCGAGATCATTGCCACTGCACTCCAGCCTGGGGTGACAGGAGTGAAGACTCCATCTCAAAAATGAATAAAATACACACACACACACACACACACACACACACACACACAGCTAATT